TTCTGCTGGATTTCCTGTGGGAAGATGAGCACTCAGAGATGTAACAGGTCAAGTTGGAATAGAAAACCCGTACACTGGAATGATTATTTGCGCTGCTGAATTTTTCAATCACCACACACAAAAAATGAAAGGCACAGAGGAGAGATATGTAGCAAAATTCCTCCCACTGATGTGGGGAAAAAACCAATATATGAAACCCAAAGCACAGTTCTGAGTGCGGCTATCGGGCACATGCAACTGAAGCTTCCCAATAGCTAGGATTCAGTAGCAAGGATTCACTCCCGCACAGGTTTATAGAGGAGAAAATTCTTTCAATATGGGACAAGAGACAGCTCAGCTTGCCTTGGAAGACAACCTGCTCTGGAAACTGGATAGAGGGAGTGTCACCTTGTTAGTTCTGCTGGATTCCTCAGCATCTTTTGTTATCATCAGCCCCTGGCATGGTTCTGCTCTGTTTGCCTTGCTGGGATGGGACTTGCTGACACTATTCTGTAGAGACAGCAGTCCTCCATGGTGGGATGGAGATTCACAAGGTAATGTTGGGGGACTCCACTTTGAATCTTTTCACAGTTGGCTTGTTGAGGTTCTCAGGGCTGTGCACCATGCTATTTAATATTCAAATTAGACTGTGGGAAGAGGCTCTCTGTGCTTAGGGTTTCCATGTCACCAATATGCTGCTGACACTCAACTCTATTTCTACTTTCCTTCTAAATCCAAGGAAGCTGCTTTAGTTCTAAAAAGTGTCTAACGTCTCTAATGGACCAGGTGAGGGAGAACAAACTGAAATTTAATTCAGACAAGATAGAGATGTTGCTGGTCAGTGAGAAGACAGAGCAGGAAATGGGAATTTTGTCAATACTATATGGAGCTACACTTCCCCTAAAGCAGCGGTTCTCAAATAGTGGGGTGAGGCTCCGTAAAGGGGGGCCCGTTACAGCTGGAGAGAGGGAGATTGTCCCAGCGCAGCCCCAGTAGCAGCCCGACATGCTCTATTCTGATTGGTCAAACCCGCCCATGTGACTATTTACAGTCGCGCGGGAGGGCGCTAAATGTTTTCTTCTTTCCTGGGGGGGCGTGACAGAAAATAATGGAGAAACACTGCCCTAAAGACACAGACCCTTGGTTTCAATGTACTAGATTCAGTACTGAACCTGGAATCCCAGGTTTTTACTATAGCAAAATGTACATTTGCACAAATAAAACCAGTTTTCCAGCTGCACTGTTAGTGGAAATATTTGATCTGGGTACATCATAGTTACATCCTACTTGGATTACTGTAACATGCTCTAGGTTAGTCTGTCTTTGAAAAGTGCTTAAAAATTCAGTTAAAGTTTCCACTGGTTACTGGTCCATTTCAGGACATAGTTATGAAACTCCACTGGCTTCTGGTCCATTTCAGAGCACAATTCCAAGTGCCTGGATATAACCTATAAAGCCCTACACAACTTGAGTCCAGGCTATCTGAAAGATCATATGCAAAGAAATCTCCCAATATCCACATGGCCAGAAGGAGGAGGGGCCAGCCTGCAAAAGATACCTTCCACTTACCATCTTATCCAAGGACAGAGAAAGCAAAATGCAGGCATCTGACTAACATCTCTATTTTTTTCTCCTGTTTGGTTTGTAACATCTTGCCTGATGAAGAAGCCAGTGGAGCTTCGAAAGATTGCAACAAGTGTACCGTGCATTTTGGTTGGCCAATAAAGGTATCACTGTTTGGTGGATTTCTGTTTGAATTTGCTAAATGGCCAACACAGCTACCTCTGCATGTTTCCTAATAAAATACCTAGTTCTACATTAATGTTGTAGACATATAAAGAGATCAGTCAAATTATAACAAAATATTGTGGCTGACCACATTTAACAGGCTATTGTAAAGTTAAACAACATATTTAACCAGACTTTCCCCAAATATTTCTAATAAAAATATTAAAACAAAATAATAGCCATTTAAAAGAAAATCTTAGTAGAATCCTCTTTTTTATATTTCATTTAAAAAGTGCTGTCCAGGTTTACTTTCCAGACAGAGAAATAATTAGAATAGCATGTGTTTCAGTAGTTCATCACAAACAAATTGGAGTGTAGCTGGGTTGCTGAGACAAGCAGTTCTGTTGAGAGGTCACTGCGATAATTGAATCTATTGTTTATCTGGTATTCTTATCATAGATATGGCTAAGTGACTCCATTACCCAGAAAAGTCTTCTTGATGCATAGTGATGATAATAGCTTCTATTGAGTCGCCAACTGAGTTTAGTAAAGGTTGCACGGCATTTCCCATCAAATCATGGACTGTCTAGAAAAGGAATAACCAAGAATGAAAAACAGTGAGGAAAAACATACACAAGTCAACAATATGTTTACACTCCCTGAGTTTCAACATTAAAATTAAATTCTTAAAACAGACTTGATTGACTGTGTAGAGAGCTGTTTTGTGTTATGACACAACATCATGGCATATAGCTTTTTTGCTATGACATTCACCAAGTAATATCTCTGAAAATGTTATTTTATTACAATTAACTGTTTCTTTGCTGGCCCTTGTTCAACTCACCATTCTATATAATGGGAGTTGGAAGAATCCCACCTTTTTTTTGTGAGAGTTTGTATACATTTGTGTACATACACATGCATGGGTATGGGTGTTATGTGTGTATCAAAATAAATATATTTGTTGACGTAGCTGAAACTTCTCCTGCTCCCCTTGTGTGGAGCACAGGATTGATGAAGAGTCCACAAGGAAACAGAACAGAATGCTTCAGAGAAGTTTAATATGATGTGACAGCTATCTCTAGAGCTGACATCATCTGTGTATTTACTCTTCTTTTTTAAATCTTAAAGTGGAAAGAGCAAAAACTCTGATTTCTTCAAATGAAAGGCAAGATAAACATTTGTGAAATAAATAAATAAGCAAATGGGTCTCATTTTTGTTAAAAAATTGATAATGAAATGGCTGGCTAATGAATAAATATAGTAACTATATTCCAGTTAGCCTTAGATATATGTAAGTCCCTTATGGTTAACTCTCTTCTCCTGAAACTAATGAACTTCAATCTGCTCAGCTCTGGCTGGCTTGCACCCTACATGTACACCTTATTTTTCTGGAGGCACTGCATAGTATTCTCTTAAACATAATAGGCCTTAGATCAAAAAGGGGGAAGTTTCTGCTCATAAAAAGGATGTCTCTGGTGCATTGCTGTGGGGGGTGGAAAGGATCTCCCAGGTCTTGTTCCCCCATACTCAAAAATCTGCTCCAAAAAGTTGGGGGAAATCTCTGGAACAGCATGGGAGGTAGCGAATGGGAGCATCTGAATGTTGCCTCATCCCTTTTCTTAGAAGAAGCCTCTGCTTAACTGAAGACCTTTCCATTCACAGAAGGACTTCTATCAAAGGTTCTTCAGACATCATCCACTTGGATAACTAGAGTACACTATTCTATTATTCTACTGTTTGTTTCCAGATATAGTTGCTTGAAAATTGTCTACAACAGCAATGAAACCACCTGATTTTCACTTTATTCTGGGAGGAAATTTAGAATAATAGATTTCACTGTTAATGATTAATAAGATGTCATTCAGAATTAAGGGGTTAAATCCAATAGTAGTCTGATCTGCAGCTTTTGTTGATATTTGCCGTTGAGTCAACTGTGACTTATGGGGACCCTATGAATGAGAGACCTCCAAGATGGTAACTGCCTTGCTCAGGTCTTGCAAATTCAAGACTGCAGTTTCCCTGATTGAATAAAACCACCTGAAGTGTGGTCTCCCCCTTTTCCTAACTTCCACGTTACCAAGCATTGTAATCTTTTCCAGTGAGCCACATCAACTCATGATATGCCCAAAGTATGAAAGCCTCAGATGGTCCCACCTATAGTAGACACATTAAAATCAGTGGGATGATTTAGATGTGACTAACAAGTTCCATTCTTGGTAGGATTAATGTTAGATATAACCAAGGTATTCAAGGGTAATGAAGACTAGGCCTAGGTCCACTACATCCAAATACTCTGGAAAATCATGAGATCTCTGGAATATCATGAGAACATATGACTAATATGTTTTGCATTACTTTCCTTCAACCACTTGCTGAAAAACTGGGAGCTGGAAAGAATGCTGGGAAAAAAGGGAATGATAGTTGTCTTCAGGGAATAAACATCACCACCACCAAAATAATAAGAATAATACAACTAACAAGTAGATCAAGGAGGAAAAGGTACAGTCCATGTTTTTTTAAGATGGGAAAAAGATAGCAAGGCAGGGATAAACTATCCATCATAAGAACCACTCCTAAATGTAAAGCACTGAGTTCAGACCTTTCCAGCCTGGTCAGATGTGTTGGTCTGCAACTTCCATCATCACTTTCCACTGGCTATGCTGGCTGAAAATGATGAGAGCTATAGTCCAACACATCTGAAAGGCAACAGACTGGCTTAGCTTGTTCATTCCCACCTACCATGTACTGCATAAATGAACCTCAGATGAACCTTCCTTAACTTGGTAGCTAATTGGTAGTTATTAATACCCAAAGTAATAACACAAATACAGAGAGACAGCATACTGTAGTGGTTTGAGCATTGGACTAGGACACTGGGAGACCAGGGTTCAAATCCCCACTCAGACATGGAAACACACTGGGTGACCTTGGGCAAGTTCCACTCTCTCAGCCTCAGAGGAAGACAAAGGCAGAATTCTTCTGAATAAAGCTTGCCAAGAAAACCCTGACTTGTCACAAGTCAGAAATGACTTGAAGGAACACAACAACAACAACAATAACACAAATATTAATTGACTGCAGTTTATTTTTATTTTTCAGCAGTTTTCCAGTCTATCTGTATATAATGTGTTGTTGATGCTGTTGCTGTGTGCCTTCAAGTCATTTACGACTTATAGCGATTCTATGGCAACCCTATCATGAAGTTTTTTTGGTAAGATTTGTTCAGAGGGGGTTTGCCATTGGCATCCTTTGAGAGTGTGGCTTGCCCAAAGTCACTGAGTGGGTTTCCATGACCAAGTGGGGATTTGAACCCTGGTCTCCAGAGTCATAGTCAAACACTCAAACCACTACGCCACACTAGATCTCTTGTAATGTGTAAAGGTTAAAGGTAAAGGTTTCTCCTTGACATGAATGTGTAGTCGTAACTAACTGTAGGGGCGGTGCTCATCTCCATTACTAAGCTGAAGAGCCAGCGTTGTCTGAGGACTACTCCAGTGGTCATGTGGACAGCATGACTGCACTGAACATTGTCACCTTCCCACTGAAGTGGTACCTATTTATCTATTTGCATTTGCATGCTTTCAAACTGCTAGGTTGGCGGAAGCAGAGACTGGTGACAGGCGCTCACTCCATCATGCACCATTTGAGCCTCAAACTGCCAATGATCATCATAATTGGCATCTTAACCACTAAGCCACCGTGTCCCTTGTAATGTGTACTTACCTTCAAAGCTGTGCTAACTGTTTCTTCAGAAGCTGCTGGAAAGGCACTTTGGCTGGAGACCACCTAAAAAAAAGTTATACAGAGCAAAAATGTATCCAAATACATATATATAGCCACAGTGGTCCCCTCCTCAAATGTGCTGTGGGTGCTAGCAAAGCCAACAAACACTCCTTGCTACATATAACTCTGTAGGAGATCAAGCTTCTGTACATAGGAGTTACTCAGTCCTTCTTGCATATTGGATTGCAGTACTACAGGTAAAGCAGCCAGCAGAAACCTCATGAGAAAAATCAGATCCTGTACTTTCTCTGCCTGCCAACAAAAACCACATAACGTTTTCTAATAAAAAAATAAGCCAGACTCTAATTTCATGATTAAAAATTATGCAATGGATCTCATGTGGCAGAAGAAATACTCTTAATTACACTGGTCCTCAGGGACCTCCACGTTTTTTTAATGCTGAACCTAAAAATCCACCCCCAAGATACATATCACATCTTTTCTTTGCTGCTGACAGCATTTTTTTAAAAAAAGGAAAGATAAAGAGCCCACACTTTGTGACAAAAACCCCATCTGTTCCTCCAAAACTATTTCTAACTTGCTCAGCCTTTGCATTCCAGAAGAGCATTAACAATTTCTCTAGGAGTCGTGTGTTTTTTAATCAAAAACTGAGCCAAGCATTTTGAAATGTGTAATTCCAACTAATTTTAAGTCTACATTTAAGTCTGTCAATGATACAGAATTTGCAATGACATTTTATTGTGAAATAAAAAGCCCTGCTTTTGCCTCTTATGCTCCTGATTTGAAACCCCTGACTAATATCCAAAAAGAAATCCATCAAGTTCAATACAGTCAAGAAGGCTTTGGGTCTTCTTAACAAAATCCTGCTGCATATTGATATGATGTCACCTTTCTCCAGTGACTATAGACCAAGCTATAGTCTTTATTTTTTAAAAAAGGTTTTATTTAACCACTTTAGAGAATACAGTTACATAAGCTCAAGAGAGAGAGCTTTTGCCAATAAAGCTTCATCGAAGTCAGAGAGGTCATCTCAAAGCTTCAGAGCACAGAGGTATTTCAAAAACAGGATGCCAATAAAGATGAACATAGGCTGCAGGAGGAAGATGTTCCATTGCCTTAGTCTCTCAAGGGAAAGACTGGTGGAGGCTGGCCAGAAGAAGAAGTCAGACTCTCTCTTCCCAACAGTGGATCCCTTGAGGACAGAGTACCCACCTACATCAAAGTAGAATAGAGATCATGTGTACAAAGCCATATTAGGATTTCCTGTTTATTTTGAACCTAGTTGAACACTGACCTTAAAAGCATCTTGGAACTGTAACTTTTAAGCTTCTATGTGGAAGAGATTTGGCTGTCATCCTGTTATTGATATACGCAGGCGTAAGTCCATCTTACAGTTGCATGTCTTTTTTTGGTTGTTACAGAGACTGGTATTCTTTTCCACCCTCAGCAATGCCCAAAGACCCCCAACTGACTATTCAGCTGCTGTAGTGCCACTAAACAGCCATTTCATGACTGGTGGAGAGCACTGGGACTGGAGAAGTGTTTGGCTATGTCCTCATAGCCAGATGCAGAATGATGACATCATCCGCTGAGACCTATTGAAGACCCTGGTGGATCTCGGTGGATGATGCCATTATATCTGGCTACAGGGACACAACCAGATACTTTGCTGACCTTCCCTGGTCTCCACCAGCCAAGAGGGGGTCTGTAGCAACTAAATGGTGGCTCCAACAGAGGCTGAGAAAATATACATAACATAGTTTTGAATGCAGAACTGGTATGCTGTGCTGTTTATGTGTCAGGATTGCAGACTCCATGTGGATTATACCTTCTTTGAGTGATACAACTTTCTTATATAGAATAAAGGCTTTCTTCCTATATGAATTCATTTGTATTTTTGCTTGTGTCCTCAGTGCTTGGAGTATGTTTTTGGTCCTCCCAAGTTGGAGAGGACTCCAGGTGTCCTGAACTCCACTTTATAAGAAACACCTTTCATCCAGGAAGAGGGGAAAAAAGAGAGTGAGGAGAAAGTCACAAAAGCACCCAACTCGGCTGCCATCCTAAGGTGCCCAATAGGGGATGGTGGTAAAAGAAGACGTGACTATCAAAGGCCTCTCTTTTTCACCCAAAGGTCTTAGATGAAAAGTAAGCCCTTTACACTGTATACTACAGACAGAAATCATTTTCCCTCTACAGATCCTGTCTTCCCAACAGAGTGATTTCCCTCTACAGTTTGTAATTTGAACTGTGAGTCTGTGTGGGAAACAGATATCCCACTGAATGCACTAGCACACCTAAAGATGATGCTCTGTTCTTTAGATCCCAGCTTAAACCATTAATCAGCTGAACCCCTAAGTCAGTGGTTTCCAAACTCTGGTCTTCCTGTGTTTTGGACTCCAAATCCCAAAAGCCCCAGCCAAGTTGGCCAACTGTCAGGAATTCTGGGAGCTGAAGTTGCAAATATCTGAAGAACCAAAGTTTGAGAATCACTGCTTTAAGTATTCCTTTGTAATTATTACACCAAATACATATATTCTGTCTAGCTTCAACAGCATTCTGAATCACCAGAACACAAGAAAGGAACACGCACATTAATATACACAAAAGGGAAAAGGGGTAGTGGAAGAAAAAGAAAATCTAGATCTATTCAAATCTATTAAATAGTTATATGCAGCCACCCATCTGAAAATTGGGCTCAACACTCACTGACACTGTTTTAGAAGTATTCTTGCACCTGTACCTTGATTTGATCAAGGATTTATGCATAAGTATTCAAACTTAATGAGTACTTACATTTCCTCGGCACTTACTTTTAGCACTGACTGGTGTAGTCTATATAATGAATTCACTACAGCCACATTTCTTCTCTGTCCTTCTGTTAATGGCCCAATCACTTGACTAGCCTCTCCTTGTGTAGACAGCTGTAGTAAGCAAAAAAGTAATACAGATTATTTATTTTTAATTGTATTCAACCGACCACATACATTTTTGTCCCTTGATATGCATGGAGAAGCTGAAAGGAAAATTAGGATACATTTAATGATTTCCAGCAAAAGTGACAGGGAATCATCATTTTGTTATATGGAGAATGGTCTCTTGCATTTGGATCTTTAAGGTTGCTTTTCACTTCACATTTTCTTAATATAGGATGACTCCCAAGAGTTATACTGCTCTATACAGGCACACAAAGCTACATCAGGATAGAGGGGGAAAGTCTATAGCATTTTGAAAACTCGTCAGAGAAATGTGTCGCATGTATTGTATCATACTGTGCTCAGTTCTAAAATATATTTCCTTCTGAAGCAGTGTGGGGAACAGAATGAACCAATATTACTGGAGGTGAAATGCCTCTAGAGGAGACCTGTGTGTGTCTAAATAAGATCATTTCTGTCAGAATGTAATTCCCAGCAGGGAGGAAAGGTTTATGTCAGTAGATTTAGACAAGGTTTTTGGAAATGACATTGGGTTTGAGAAATTAAGGGTGCAGCTACACTGTAGAAATCATGTAGCTTGACTCACTTAAAGTCCTGTAGCTCCATCACTTGGATTCCTGGGATTTGTAGTTGTACAAGGTCTTTAGCCTTCTCTGACAAAGAGTGCTGGTACCTCACAAAACTACAATTCTATAGGATGGAGCCATGGCAGTTAAAGTGGTGTAAAATGTCTACAGTATAGATCATAGAATCATAGAATCATAGAGTTGGAAGAGACCACAAGG